TTCCCCACTCCGCCCCCCCAGAATGTCTCTGGTATATGGCTGATCATCATTATTATTATTTTCTCGCCCGGTCCGTTATACTCCCGCTATGAGTGAAACCATCCGGTATTTTTCTTTCTCTTTCTGGCTCATCTCACTCAGCATGATCCCTTCCAGCTCCGTCCATGTTCCCGCAAAAGGCATGAGTTTCTCTTTCCTGGTTGCTGAGTCATATTCATGGTGTATCTGTACCCCATCTTTTGAATCCAGTCATCTACTTTTGGGCATTTGGCTGCTTCCAGGTCTTTCCAATTGTGAGTAAAGCAGCGATAAACGTGGGGAGCACCCGCCCTTCTAGCGAGGCCCTCGCCATCTGCCAAAGAGGCTTGGCCCTGAGTTTCTGCGTCCGCAGCGTGCCCCCTCCGGGCCGCCCCGCTGTGCGCCGGGCGTCGCTGCGGGCTCTCGCGTGCCCCCGCCTCGGCTGGGGTGCCCCCGCCTCGGCTGGGGTGCCCTCATCTCTTCTTGTCTCCTGAAATCCTGTTCCCAGGAGACCCACAGTGCGGGCCGCTCCTACCGCTCCTTGCCTCCCGGGGTCACCTAGGCCCAGGGCCCCTGCCACCGAGACCTGGGCCAGCCCCCCGCCATCAGAGCCCGGGCAGATGGCGCTTCTGAAGCTCGTGCTTTGGTGCTTGGCAAGGCCCGGTGGCTTCGCCGGGGTGTGAGGGCCGTGTCCTCTCGTCTCCCCAGAAGCACCGAGTCTCGCGAGCGCCCACTCTGTGCCCTGGGTCTCGTGCTCACGGCGTCACGAAGGTGCGTGGTCGCGTCTCAGCAGCGGCTTCGATTCGCGCTGCTGCTGCGCCCACTTGACAGAAATGCGGCTCCCGCTCGAGCTGCTCCCCGCGGACGCCGGCCAGTGGCAGCGGTAGCACCCAGCGGGCCTTGCCTCCTCCCGCCCGCCCCACTTTGAGCGAACTCCTCGGGCCACGCTTTCTCCCCCGCAGCTCCCAGAGTCCTGTGCACTTGGCTCGCGCCTCAGTGGCCGACAGACACTTCCTGCGTCGTGACTGTGCCCCGCCGCCCTGCCCGCGCCTCCGGCCGGCTGCGGCTTGCTGGGTGGGGGCGGCCGGCTGCCGGGGGCCTGTGGCGCGTCTCTACCGGCCGTGGGTGAGCCGTTGGCCCGGTGTCTCCTGGGGCCGTGCTGTTCCCGGGTCAGACCTGAGCCCTGCTAAGTTTCACCAGAGAGGAAAGGTCTTGCCCACACTGGGTGCCGGACGCCACAGCGGGAACCCAAGGGCAGGGGCATCCACGCGGGGGGCTCAGGCGCAGCGGGGGACCAGCCGGGGGACCAGCCGGGGTCCGGCGGCGCAGGAGGGCAGGCGGTGCTGGCAGCCGTCACCAAAACCTCGAGAAGGAGCAGGGCTGGCGGGACGGGGCGCCGCGAGGCTCCCGCTGTGCCGGGACCTGCGCCCCTTTCCGGCGCCTCCGGGGGACCCCGCCTTCGCCCTGCGTCCCGGGGGCGCGCTGGGCTTTCACCGGCGCCTGTCTTCTGTGCACGTCTTCCAGTGTCTTCTCAGCAAGGGGTTGGCTTGTAGCTGCTGCCTCGAGTTGGTCCGTCTCAGCCGCCCCCACCTCTTGGTCACCGGGGACGTGACAAGGTCGCACCCAGCGGTGCTGCGGCTCCGCTCGGCTCGGCAGTTGTATCATCAGGGTGCTTTCGCCTCCACGCAGCAAATGCTGGCTCTGAAATTATGAGGCAGGAAAGGAACGTACTAGGCCGGAGGTGGGGGAGGGTGGGGAGGCCTGGCGTGGGCAGCGCTGACAGCGGTCAGCTGGACAGAGGGACCGTGGTGTGCACTCTGGATTCAGCTGCCAGGGCGGAGTCTGCTTGGCCGTGGAGAGTCCTGGCCCTCCTTGCCAGTGCACAGCGGGACATTTAACTGCAGCGCCTGGCGAGGGGGTCAGCAGTGCTCTGTGGCCAGTGGGGACCCGGTCTGCGCTCTGAAGAGCACCCACTTGCTTCCCTGAGAGGCAAATGGGCCCACAGACTTCTACCAGAAAATCTCTAGGACTAAGGCTGCAGTGATGGACGTGTGTTCCCGGGGCGCGGGTGTGCCCCGCCCCCATGAAGACCAGCAGGGGCCCTGGAGGCCCGCCAGTTCCCGAGCCAGGTACCCGCGTCCAGCGGGCCCTCACTCCCTCCTCCTGGGCAAGAGGCTCTGTGTTCCGCCTCGGTCTCCCTGTCTGTAAAACGGGGACACAGGGATCAAACAGGGTGTGGTGGTGAAGACTGAATTCCTGCCCTTTTAAGAGCTTTGGCTGAGTCGTCTGAACTCTCCTTCGGACTGAGGGGCCAGGAGGCAGCGTGGTGGGAGAAGGAGCCCAGGCCGCGGCTCAGCCCTGCCCGACACACCTGCGGGAGTCAGGGCCTCACTTCCTGCGTCTGTGCTCCGGGTGGGTGTGCTTGCTGGGCACCTTGAGCCAGTTGGGAGTTGGGGGGCCGTGTCCTGTGTCCCCCAAGCGTCCCCGACGACAGCAGCTCCACAGCAGCCGGACATTCAGCAACACCTGCCATGCGCCTCCGTGTCCAGATGTCCTCTCTCCCGGGCCTCACAGTCACCCCACAGCCGCCCCACGTGTGGCCCCACTTCACAGGGAAGAAAGGGGGGCCCCCAGGAGTCAGCCAGCCCCCGGCGAGTCACCTGCCCCATTTAGAGTTGAAGCCGGCACCCGCATCAACCACACTGCCTTCCGGCCTGTTCTTGACCCTCCGTAATTCACAGTCCAGCGGCGGTGTTTGTCCTGCTTTATAAGAGGGGGACTGAGGGAAAAGGCCCCCGCGGCCGGGCCTGAGCCAGGCCTCAGGTCCGTGAGTTCCACCCAAAGGAGATGAAAAGTCAGAGCCTCGAAGGCCGGAAGCCACGGGGTCTGCCCGGCCCGCCCGCCCGCCGGCCCAGGCTGGAGGCTGCCTCGGGTCCCACGGCCAGGGGGCAGCGGCAGGCGAGGCCTCTGAGCAGAGGGCAGGTCAGTGGGACCCGGCCCCGCGGAGTGACATCCGTCACCCCAGTGTGCTCTGCGACCTGGGCCCGCCACGGGGGCTCCCCCAGCCTCCCCGTGGATCTACTCCCCTGACCCCGCGAGCGCGCCTTGGCTTTTTCTCCCCTTCTCAAAAACCAGGACACAATAGGAAGCGTTTCCTTGAACTTATTAAAAAATCCAGACTTGTAAATTAATTTGTCCGTGTTGTACAAAGGCAGTGCAGATGGACTCATTAGCATGCACACAACAAATAATTATAGATGAATTTTTAGCCGGCCTGCCTAATGCGCTTGCTGGGTTAATTATGTCAATGTATAATTACATCAGCCCGGGGAGACATAATGGCGCACCCCGCTGAGCAGGCCCTGCCTAGTGACGGGCGGGGCCGGCGGAGGGGAGGCGCCGGCCTTCCGCGCACCTGCTTACCTCGCACAGATGCCCATTGTCCAGCCCCCGCCCCCAACAGGCGGGCGGCCAGAGGGACGAGCAGGGCGACCTCGTTCCGGCCCGCCCTGAAGGCCCGTGTTCGGGTCCCGGCGTTTCTTCCACGGGCAGCCACGGTGGGGTGGGGCCGTGCGCTCAGCCCGGGGGCCTGGCGGGAGCGAGCACAGCTGCGGGGCCCCCCCCCCCCGTCACAGAGTTTGCGGTCTCGTGGGTGTTAGTTAGGTGGACTTGCAGATAAAGTGTCACTGCGGTGAGTGTGGTGGCGGCCAGCGCAGGCAGCTGGCAGAGCCCAGAGCAGAGCCTGGCTGGTCAGGGAAGGCTTCCTGGAAGAAGTGGGCATCCGAATTGCAACCTGAAAACCAGGTAAGCCTTGGCCAGGTGAAGGTGCGGGAAGGCGGCGCAGACTCCCGCCAGTGCAGAGGCTGTGGGCGGGTGGCGCGAGGCGGGACGGGGAGGCCAGTTTGTCCGCAGCGGGAGCGGCCGGGCGGCCGGGTACTCTAGCTGACCGCGTGCTCGTGCTGCCGCTGTGCGTGGGCCCTCGTCACGGCCCCAAAGCCGGCTTGCATGTTGCGACGCGGAGAGGCAGAGCTGCCTTCCAGAGCCACACGGCGATCCCCACAAGCAAGGCTGATGAGGCTCCTGACACCAGCCCGTGCTCCCCAGGGGGAGCCCGGGGGGCTCGGGGCACGAGAGAGAACTGGGCCAGGTCCGGGCCTGCGTCCGCACGCCCCAGGCCCCAGGGGCTGCTGAGCTGGAGTACACAGCTCGGGACGGGCCTCTGCAGTCAGAGAAGAGGCCCGGACCCGGGGTCACCGCGCTCCCCCCAAGTCACCTGGCTGCCCTCAGCCTGTTTCCTCCTCTGAAGACAAGCCGCAGCCGAGCCAGCCTGCAGGGGTGCGGGGGCCTCTCGGGCTTTGTCCCCGGAGGTGCCCCCTCCCTCGGGGCTCCCGGGGTTACCCGGTCTGGAGGAGGAGGCCGTGCGGGGGGAGCGCCGCGTCGCGTCTCACCTTGCCCTGTTGGGAGTTGGGAGGCATCTGGGCCAGGTGTGTGTGCCGGCCACCCCTGTGCAGAGGCGGGCGCTCAGGGGAGAGCCGAGGCTTCCCGGGGCCAGCGAGGATGGGCAGCGGGTGAGGGACGCTGGCAGAGAGAGGCAGGAGCGGGGGCGGCCTGCGGAAGTGCTGGGCAGGCCCAGGGCTTCGCCTGTCCCCCTGGGCCTGGACCCCCGCCGCCACGGGCCTGTCTGGAGTGGCCGTGGGAAGGCCGGCCTCACGTGGTGCTGTCGGGGTCCCCCGGGTCCTTCGTGGCGCCACCCCGTGGCTGGAGATGTGCGAGACACACCCCACGGCCACCGTAGGTGACGCTGGAATCAAGGGAACAGGTCTTACAGCCGCCTTTATGGTCACTGCTCCCCACCCCACACCCCTGCCGTGCAGGACACCCACACAGCTCCCCGGAGCAGCCCTCGGCCTGGGCACCCCCACCCACCCCGGCCTCTCCCCACGCAGACCCCGCGCCTGTGTTTGAGGCGGCTCGCGGCCTAGACGACAGACTGCAGCCCCCCGGCCGCGACCCCGGTGGGCAGCCCCGGCGGGACCTCCACACCGCGTGGAAGAGGCACCCCGAGCTGCTGTGCCCCAAAGGTACTGGGGTGCCCACAAGCAGATGGGCGGTGGGTCCCCGTGGCCAGCCTCAGCCGCCCTGGCGGGGCGGGGGCCGCGCGCTCGCCCCATCGCC